GTCCAAAATTACTCCAGATCCTTGTGCAGGTCTTTATCTGCAACTACAGGAAACGTTTGGTTGAGGTTATTGCTGCCAAAGGAGGGTCAACCAGTTATTAAGTCCAAAGGTTCACATACTTTTTCCTCCCTGCACTGTGAATGTTTACATGTTATGTGCAATTAAACCATGGCAACATCTAATGTTTGTGTAGTATTATGTTCAGCAGACTGTGTTCTTCTATTGTTGTGACTTAGATGACGTTCAGAGCACATTTTATGCCCAATTCATGCAAAACTCCACGTAATCCCACAGGGTTCACATACTTTTTCTTGCAACTGTATATATACAGTGGGGATCGAAAGTTTGGGCACCCCAGCTAAAACTTTGTGGTAAATGTGCATAAAGAAGCCAGGGAAAGATGGAAAAAATCCCCAAAAGGCATCAAATTACAGATTAGACATTCTTATAATATGTCAACAAAGGTTAGATTTTATTTCCATCATTTACACTTTCAAAATAACAGAAAACAAAAAAAAATGGCGTCTGCAAAAGTTTGGGCACCTGCAGAGTTAATCTCTTGTACTGCCCCCTTTTGGCAAGTATCACAGCTTGTAAACGCTTGTTTGAGGTATCTTTGCCCATTCTTCCTTACAAAAGTCTTCCAGTTCTTTGAGATTTCTGGGCTGTCTGTCACGCACTGCTCTTTTAAGGTCTATCCATAGATTTTCAATTATGTTGAGGTCAGGAGATTGTGAAGGCCATGGCAAAACCTTCAGTTTACGCCTCTTGATGTAATCCCCTGTGGATTTCGAGGTGTGTTTAGGATCATTATCCATTTGTAGAAGCCATCCTCTCTTTAACTTCAGATTTTTCACAGATGGCATTAAGTTACCATCCAAAATTTTCTGAAATTTTATTGAATTCATTTTTCCTTCTACTCGTGAGATGTTCCCTGTGCCACTGGCTGCAACACAACCCCAAAGCATGATTGATCCAACCCCATGCTTAACAGTTGGACAGAGGTTCTTTTCATTAAATTCTGTGCCCCTTCTTCTCCAAACGTACCTTTGCTCATTCTGGCCAGAAAGTTCAATTTTAACCTCATCGGTCCACAGAACTTGTTTCCAAAATGCATCAGGCTTGTCTATATGTTCATTTGCAAAGTTCAAACGATGATTTTTGTGGTGAGGACGTAGAAGAGAGGTTTTCTTCTGATGACTCTTCCATGAAGACCATATTTGTACAAGTATCTCTTTATAGTGGAATAGTGTACCACAACTCCAGTGTCTGCCAGATCTTTCTGGAGGGATCGTGCAGTCAAACGTGGGTTTTGAATTGTTTTTCTCACAATCCTGCGAGCTGTTCTGTCTGATATTTTTCTTGGTCTTCCAGATCTTGCTTTAACTTCCACTGTTCCTGATGACTGCCATTTCTTAATTACATTTCGAACAGAGGATATTGACATCTGAAAACGCTTTGCTATCTTCTTATAGCCTTCTCCAGCTTTGTGAGCGTCAACTATTTTCAGTTTCAGTTTTCTAGACAACTGCTTAGAAGAACCCATGGTGCTGATTGTTGGGGCAAGGTCAGATAAGTCTGGGCATTTAAAACCCTTTGAGATTGACATCACCTGGTCTTCCCAGACAATGATTGAGAACAATCCATGACACTGGCAGGTCTCAGCTTGGCAAAGGGGGCAGTGCATGCTATAAATTCTGCAGGGTGCCCAAACTTTTGCAGACGCCATTTTTTTGTTTTCTGTTATTTTGAAAGTGTAAATGATGGAAATAAAATCTAACTTTTATTGACATATTATAAGAATGCCTAATCTGTAATTGGATGCCTTTTGGAGATTTTTCCATCTTTCCTTGGCTTCTTTATGCACATTAATACAAATTTTTAGCTGGGGTGCCCAAACTTTCGATCCCCACTGTGTATATATATATATATATATATATATATATATATATATATACACACATGATTTTGCAGTTGCGGTTAGGGTGGCGCACGCGAGCCACATGCGCGCCCTACCCGCTCCACTATTCCCGGCCTCGGCTGTCCATCACCGGGTCCCGGCTGGTGATTACTTGCCAGCACCCACTGATCGCCGAGTATTACCGACGGGGGAGAGAACTGTATGTAAACAATACAGTTCTCTCCCCTGTCAGCTCCTGCACACTGCTTTGTATGGCTCTGTATAGCAGAGCCATACAAAGCAGTGTGCTTACAGTTGAAAGCACATACACAGCTTACAGTAAAACAGAACACAGTTAACCCTTTGATCGCCCCACAAGTTAAACCCTTCCTGCCCAGTGCCATTAGTACAGTGTCAGCGCTTTTTATTAGCACTGATCACTGTTTTGGTGTCACTGGGGATGTCAGTGACACCAAGTCAGTTCCCCCCAGTGTCAGAATGTCCACCGAAGTCCCGCAGTCCTGTTATAAGTCGCTGATAGCTGCCATTACTAGTAAAAAAAAAAAAAAATTCCAGCATATACAGTATACCGCCATTTGTAAACGCTATAACTTTCATGTAAAACCAATTAATTTACACGTATTGGAATTTTTTTCTAGCAAAGACATGTTGCAGAATACATTTTGGCTTAAATTTATGACGAAATTTGATTTTTTAAATTTTTAAATTTTTTTTACTGGACATATTTAATAGCAAAAAGTAAAAAATATAGTTTTTTTCTCAAAATTGTTGGTCTTGTTTTTTACAGTGCGGAAAATAAAAAACACACAGGCGATCAAATACCACCAAAAGAAAGCTCTATTCGTGGGGAAAAAAAGCCCGTAAATGTCATTTGGGTGCAACGTTGCATGACCACGCAATTGTCAGTTAAAATAACGCAGCGCCATAATGCAAAAAATGACCTGGTCAGGAAGGGGGGTAAATCCTCTGGAGGGCAAGTGGTTAAGTCACAAATCTCTTTGGAAGTGAAGTTTGTGAAATCTCTTAATTTGATGACCCCAAAATTGTGCCTTAGCTAAAGAAAGCTAACAGTTTCTTACTTTTATTATCATCAATTTTGTTATGTGAAGAATGCAACAGGAGATTTTTGGACACCCAGAAACTACCTTGCTGTAGTAGGGGGAGCTAAATCTCAAAAGTGAGCAGTTAAAATGCCATGAAATATGGTGCCCCTAAATGATAAAAGAAGCTAGTATATAAATAAATCCACCTAAATTAATATATACAGTAACTGACATATCACATATAGACATGCTAATACTTTCTTAATCGGTAACACATAGTTTATGTGAACTGTGTCAACCATGCTCTCTGTTTCTCCGACTAATACTGATGGGTCCTCTAATATATACTGTATATTTTACAGTGTCTGAAAGCTATGAAAGTTTACTTCCTTGCCCTTTAAATGACATCACTTCTAAAGCACACAAGTAAAAGCAGAGATACTATATTCATTGCCAGCTCAGTGGATAGCCTAGTTTTATTTAGTGGTTGAGGAGATAATTTTCATGCAATGTATTTATTGTACAACTTTTAATTGCTGCTAAATAAATGTTGCAGTTTTTGTGAACTGCACATCTTAATATGTGTAGAGAAGAGATCAACAAAAACATGGGAAAATAGCAATGTTAGAAATGAATTATTTCTTTAAAACCAAGTCAGGTCCCTAATGGACAGCCAGCAAGGTCATTATCTTAATCCAAATGGAATGTAGATCTAGCTAGAGCCCTACAAGATGACTAATTCTAAGTGTTACTTATTAAACACTATAAAATGACCTCATTACAATGCAGTGTATACAGGAAGGATGATTCTATCTGCTTTTTTTTATGGAACTAATGATTGGCACATGTATCTTTTAACTAATAACAGAGAACTCTTTCTTATATCATATGATTGTTCAGCACTTTGTTTTCATTTATGGATAGTCTAATACAGTGTTTACACTGGGCACTCATCTGTAATCACCATGTACATTGCAAGATACAGTATGTGGCCCACCTGTGTTATCTTTCAGATAGCAAATCATTTCCTAATGTGTGATTGCAATCTGTACCTTCCATAATACTGGAATATACAAGCATGATGCCTAATTTGCCAGTATTGTGTGCCAGTACATCCTATAGGCATGTTATTTAAAGAAATGTTTCTTTTTTTAAATTGGAGCTCCACCCAGAAGGGGATGTTCTGCTTTCAGACTTTGTCCCCCAGGGTATCCAGGTGGTATCTGAACCTGACTGGTAGCTGCACCCACTTCCACTGCAATTGCCTAGGTGATCAGAAGCGGATGTTGTCTCCCCTCCCTGCAGTCTTTATGGGATATGTGACAGGACCCAGAATACTACAGAACCATTCACAAACCACAGAGCTACTCACACATGCACAGTGGGCACCTGGCTGTGAAGCCGCAAGCTGTCACACACTGAAGATGCCGGTGCCATGGAGAGAGGGAAGGACGGTAAACCTGGCTGGTGTGAGCACACCGCTGGATCGAGGGTCAGGTGAGTGTCTGTGTTTTAAAAGTCAGCAGCTACAGTATTTATTTTGGCTGGACCTCCACTTTAATGTTTTACTGTAAGCATTACTAAAAGAGTGTATCCCCACTGAACAGAAAATATATATATATACACACACTGCATATGTATATACCATATTTTTTGCTCCATAAGATGCACTTTTTCCCCCAAAAAAAGGTGCGTCTTATGGAGCAAATATGGAGCGGCCAGCCCGGTATACACGCCACCGCCGTGTCAGAATACTGGGCTGGCCGCTCAGCTCTTCTGTGCAGCAGCAGAACCTTACCTGTTCCTCGGTCCAGCGGTGTCCTCATGGTCTTCTCTTCTGGCACGGGCATCTTTAGTGTGGGCACTCGGCTGTGACAGCTTGCATCTTCACAGCTGGGTGCCCACTGAGACTGCACAAGAAGTGTTGTGCTTTGTGAATGGCCCGACAGTCTTCTGGGACCTGTCACGTGTCCCAGAAGACAAGGAGGGAGGAAGTGGGAGTGGGTACCTTTCAAATTCTGGTACCCGCTCCCCCTCCTCCCCAAAGGTCAACAGTCTCTGGTCATCCCCTATACTGTGTCCTCAGTCTCTGGTCATCTCTAGTATGTTCGCAGTCTCTGGTCATTTTTCCTGTACTGTGTCCGCAGTCTCTGGTCATCCCATGTACTATGTCCGCAGTCTCTGGTCATCCCCTATACTGTGTCCTCAGTCTCTGGTCATCTCTAGTATGTTCGCAGTCTCTGGTCATTTCCTGTACTGTGTCCGCAGTCTCTGGTCATCTCCTGTACCGTGTCCGCAGTCTCTGGTCATCTCCTGTACTGTGTTCGCAGTCTCTGGTCATCTCCTGTACTGTGTCCGCAGTCTCTGGTCATCTCCTGTACTGTGTCCGCAGTCTCTGGTCATCTCCTGTACTGTGTCTGCAGTCTCTGGTCATCCCCTGTAGTATGTCCGCAGTCTCTGGTCATCACTTGTACCAGGGGTGGACTGACCATTTGGAAACTCGGGCACTGCCTGAGGGCCCGGGGTCAGTAGGGGGGCCCATGAGATGCCCCTGGTACCTTTTTCATAGACTTTTTTGAGTTTGGGCAAGGACACAGGGGCCCCATGATCCCCTATTGCCCGGGGGGGGCCCCATGAGTTGTCAGTCCGCCCCTGACCTGTACTGTGTCCACAGTCTCTGGTCATCTCCTGTTCTATGTCCGCAGTCTCTGGTAATCTCCTGTACTGTGTCTGGAGTCCCTGGTCATCTCCTGTACTGTGTCCGCAGTCTCTGGTCATCTCCTTTACTATGTCCGCAGTCTCTGGTAATCTCCTGTACTATGTCCGCAGTCTCTGGTCATCCCCTGTACTGTGTCCGCAGTCTCTGGTCATCTCCTGTACTGTGTCCGCAGTCTCTGGTCATCTCCTGTGCTGTGTCCGCAGTCTCTGGTCATCTCCTGTAGTATGTCCGCAGTCTCTGGTCATTTCCTGTACTATGTCCGCAGTCTCTGGTCATTTCCTGTACTATGTCCACAGTCTCTGGTCATTTCCTGTACTATGTCTGCGGTCTCTGGTCAGCTCCTGTACTATTTCTGCAGTCTCTGGTCATTTCCTGTACTATGTCTGCAGTCTCTGGCCATTTCCTGTACTATGTCTGCAGTCTCTGGCCATTTCCTGTACTATGTCTGCAGTCCATTGGTTCAGAATATTTTTTTTTTCTTGTTTTCCTTCTCTAAAACCTAGGTGCGTCTTATGGAACGAAAAATACGGTATACACTATATTGCCAAAAGTATTGGGACACCTGCCTTTACACGCACATGAACTTTAATAGCATCCCAGTCTTAGTCCATACGGTTCAGTATTGAGTTGGCCCCACCTTTGCAGCTATAACAGCTTCAACTCTTCTGGAAAGGCTGTCCACAAGGTTTAGGAGTGTGTCTATGGGAATGTTTGACCATTCTTCCAGAAAACACATTTGTGAGGTCAGGCACTGATGTCGGACAATAATGCCTGGCTCAAAGTCTCCGCTCTAACTTATTCCAAAGCTGTTCTATCAGGTTGAGGTCAGGAAATTTCTCAGATGGACTTATTGCACAGCTGGCAACAGTACCACGCTTGATATCAATGAGCTTCTGAGAGCGACCCATTCTTTCACAAATGTTTGTAGAAGTAGTCTGCATGCCTAGGTGGTTGATTTTATGCACCTGTGGCCATGGAAGTGATTGGAACACCCAAATCAAATGATTTGAAGGGGTGTCCCAATACTTTTTGCAATATAGTGTGTGTGTATATATATATATATATTTATTATTATTATTATACAGTATTTATATAGAGCCAAAAAGTTTGCTCAGTGCTGTACATTATAGTGGGGGACAGTACATGAGACAATACAGTAACAATACAATACACGAGGGGTTCGAGGGCCCTGCTCCTTGGAGTTTACAATCTAGGAGGGAGGGTATAGTGGTATAGGAGGAAATGGCTGTGGGGGATGGAGTGGTAGGAGGAGTGGAGGAGATCGGCTGTTAGGTGAGGGCGGGGTAGGCTTCCCTGAAGAGATGGGTTTTCAGAGTGCGCATAAAGGTGAGGAGGGTAGGCGACAGTCTTATGGATTGGGATAGTGAGTTCCAGAGGATGGGGGAAGACCTGGAGAAGTCCTGGAGTCGGGCATGGGAGGAGGAGACCAGGGAACTGGAGAGTAGGAGGTCTTGTGAGGAGCGAAGAGCACGTGTTGGGTGGTATTTGGATATCAGATCGGTGAGGTAGTTTGGGGCAGTATTATGAATAGCTTTGTACGTCAATGTTAGTAGTTTGAATGTTATGCGTTGGGCAATCAGAAGCCAGTGGAGGGAATGACAGAGGGCGGTGGTGGATACGGAGCGGTTGGTAAGGTGGATGAGTCTGGCCACTGAGTTCAGGATAGACTGAAGCAGGGAGAGTCTGTGATGAGGTAAGCAGGTGGAAGTTGCAGTAGTCGAGTCGTGAGATAATAAGGGAGTGAATGAGTTGTTTAGTAGTGTCTGGGGTTAGGAACGAACGTATTTTGGAGATGTTGCGGAGGTGGAGCCTGCATGAATTTGCCAGCGATTGGACATGGGGCTGGAAGGGTAGGTTGGAGTCTAGAGTGACACCTAGAACTTTGGATTGCAAGGTGGGACTAATGGTGGCGTTATTGATCGTGATGGAGAGGTTGGGGGGGGGGGGGGGGCACGAGCTGAGGGGAAAACTAGGAGCTCGGTTTTGGAAAGGTTTGAGGAAGTGGAATGACTTCCAGTCTGATATGTTGTTCAGTAGGCAGGTGATTCGGGCGGAGACTGAAGGGGTGAGGCGAGGGGTAGAGAGGTAGATTTGCGTGTCATTGGCATAGAGTTGGTAGTTGAAGCCGTGGGAGTGTATCAGCTGGCCTAGGGAGGAGGTGTAGATGGAGAAGTGAAGGGGCCCGAGGACAGAGCCTTGGGGGACCCCAACAGAAAGGGGGAGAGAGGGGGAGGTGGCAGCGTTATAGGTAACACTGAAGGAGCTTTGAGATAGATAGGAGGAGAGCCAGGAGAGAGCGGAGTCTTTGATGCCAAGGGAGTATAGTTTTTTAAGGAGGAGGGGGTGGTCAACTATGTCGAAGGCCACGGAGAGGTCGAGGAGTAGGAAGACTGAGTAGTGGCCATTAGCTTTGGCGGTTAGAAGGTCGTTGGTGAGTTTGAGTAGGGTGGTTTTGGTGGAGTGTTATGGACGAAAGCCAGACTTTAGGGGATCAAGGAGGTTGTTGTTGTTGAGGTAGGAGCTTAGGCGATTATAGACTAAGCGCTCGAGGAGTTTGGATGTAAATGGCAGGAGGGAGATGGGTCTAAGGTTGTTCAGGTCGGTGGGGTCCAGGGAGGGTTTTTTGAGTATGGGGGTGATGTGTGCGTGCTTTAGAGGGGGATGGGAATGAGCTAGTAGAGAGGGAGAGATTGAAGATGTGGGTGAGGGAGCAAAGGATGGAGGAGGAGGGTGACCGTAGGAGTTGTGTGTGGACAGGGTCAATGGGGCAGGTGGCGAGGCATGCTTTGGAGAAGACCTTAGTGACCTCTTCAGTGGTAGCAAGGTCGAAGAAATGGAGTGTTGGGGCGGTTTTAGTGTGCGGGATGTTAGGTGGGGTGGGGGTCTGGGCAGTTGCAAGGTTAGAGGAGGGGAGTGTTGAGGTGGTTATCATGGGAGGGAGGCTAGGTGGGGTGGAGGTCTGAGCATTGGCAATGTCCCAACAGATTGCATCGATCTTGTTTTGGAAGTGGTTAGCAATCTCGTGGGTGGTGAGTGAGGTACTGGGTGGAGGTGGGGGGGGGGAGAGAGTAGGGAGTTAAAAGTGGAGAAGAGCCGGCGAGGGACTGGAGGAGAGGGTATTGATGAGGCTTACGAAGTAGGCTTGTTTGGCGGCATGAAGGGAAGAGGTGTAGGTGAGGAAGGCAGATTTGTATAGGGTGAACGCTTGTTGGCATCTGGTTTTGCGCCATAATCGCTCCAGCGCACGACTGCGTTGTTTAAGATTCTTGGTGTGGTCGTTCTGCCAGGGTTGAAGCGGTTGGGGTCTAATGCTACGTGTGGTTAGGGGTGCTAGGGAGTCTAGGGCGGCTGACAGCGAGTTATTATAAGCAGTAGTGGCCAGGTCAGGGCAGGACAGTGGAAGGATACTGTCGTAAAGTCGGTCAGCCGCAGAGTGGAGAGGGACAGGGTTCAGGTTGCGGAGGTTATGGCTGGTGATGGTTTGACGTTTGGGGGGGGAGGTGTTTGAGGACGGGGAGACGGGGAATGTAATGAGGTTGTGGTCAGAGAGAGGGAAAGGGGTGTTTGTGAGGTTGTGGGGGGTGCAGAGGTGGGAAAAAACAAGGTCCAGGGTGTTCCCGTCGGAGTGGGTGGAGGACTGTGTACACTGTGTGAGTGCAAAAGAAGAGGTTAGGTGGAGGAGTTGGGATGTAGTCGGGTTATTGACATTGATAGGGATATTGAAGTCTCCAAGGATGATGGTGGGTAGCTCTGAGGAGAGAAAGAAGGGTAACCAGGCGGAGAAATCGTCGAGGAATATATATATATATATACTGCCTTTGTTTTTACAATCCCTTGCCAATTAGATTTGAAAATTTCTGGAATTGACTTTAAATATTTGTCTCCAATTGATTTCAGTGGGATTCAGAATAACATTTGAACCTAGAAGCAGTACAGTGAAAATACCACAAACTAAACCCAGGCATATTTGACTCAACAAGCAATAAATAGGCTTTAAAGCAAGTCATTATGGAGCACTGTAGCTGCAGCCACTGCAAAACACTTCATAAATTCCTCAAAGTTTACTGCAGAAACTTGTAAATTTAAATTTCTAGAAACACAGAGCAATTGCACAGGAAGAGGGGAGAGTGCAAAGTGCTGGGACAAGATTTGAACAATTTCACTGCTTGCCTTGTGAATTTCAAAGCTTGAACTACAGCTACAAAGATCAGTAAGGGCTTTTTAAAACATATTTGTTGCTTAAAATTTAGTGAACATTTAAAATGTCCACAAAATTAATAGGGAAGGAAATAAGTTTATAAAATAATTAATTAGGGCTGGTTGGGGTTAACCAAGGGTCAATAAGAGGCTAAAAAGGGACAAATTAAAAATGCATTTTCTTTTTATGGTTGCTACAACTGACAATGGTCACCAGGACAAAAAGAGAGTTAATACAGAGTTATTCATCCTAATGTGGGCACAGTCAGCAATAAAAACCTTTCAGGGGTTCTAACCCCTCATCACACTTCAAAAAAAAAGTGGGGTTAAGATTAACTTTAAATCTCTTAGTAACAAAGAGAAGCCAATAAATGACTACAAGTAGGACTACATTAACAGTTAAGTTCAAGACTACACTGTAGATTAAGTTTCTATCGCTAATTAGGAAGGATGAGTAAATCAGCTTGGGTTCGATCTGCTGAGGGCTGCGGCTTTGATGAAACCTGTTTGAAGTTCAATGAACCCGAGCCTAGCAGCAAATCCTATATAAGTCTTCAGGGGTAGGGGAAGCAGAAGGGAAATCTGTTAGCACATTCTAGCCATTTTATAGGACTAATAAGCAAGCTGTTAAAAAAGAGGGGTGGGAAACTGAGCACTGCCATGGAGGACATGTACTAATTCCAAACATATTTTTTAAAATATTAAGTAGGGAGACGGTCCTATT